CTCATTTGGTGCAAATCAAATGCAACTGATTCAAGCCCTCATCACTCGCAGGGGAAGCAGACCTGCTTTGTTTTGCCCTTGTATGAGTTAGCACTGTTCATTGGCAAAGCACTTATGGGGTACTCTGTGTTGGAGAACATCAGAATATCGGAGACCTTTCTTTCTCTTGGCTTTTGAGACCAAATTAGCTTAGCTCTAACCCCCTTACCCGGTCCTGAGCTCATTTCCAGCAGCATTTCTGACATCCACTCTTCCTGCAGCATGTGTCTGTCGCCTGGTCTTAAAGGCAGAAATCACTGAGTGAAATTCTCTGAACCCTCTTTTTCAAAAACTGGGCTTCATGCAGCCTAGAAAAGGGAATTTGCTTAAGCTGCTGCAGAGTGTGTGCCAAAACCCATCTACCTTACACAGCAGCCCGGTAACTCCAACTTGATTATAATGCACCTTCCACCTTAAAAATCTCTGTTCATCAAGGGAGAAGTACACACTGGAGAGCTCCACAGGGAAAGGCAAATACTTGCTGCCAATGGGGACAGGGGTGGTCAGCTGTGCGTCTGTATCAGCTGCTGGATGGGAATAAAAAGCATGTTCCCGCCCCAGCCTAGCTCTAGCCTAAGCTCCTGGACAGGTTCAGAGCTCTCATGGCACTCTGGGCGATTCTCCTCTGTACCTTGATAGCATCACTGCTTGGTGGGCTCTACCTCCTGGGTGTGTTTCGGAGACGGAGACCTGATGAGCCACCTCTGGACAAAGGTACCATTCCCTGGCTGGGTTACGTGCTAGATTTCAGAAAGGACAGCGCGGAGTTTCTAAAAAGGATGCAGAGAAAGCACGGGGATATTTTCACAGTACTGATCGGAGGCTATTATTTCACCTTTGTGATGGACCCCTTCTGCTTTGGAGCCATCATGAAGGAATCACGATCTAAACTGGACTTTAGGACTTTTGCATATAAACTGGTCCTGCAGGTTTTTGGCTACAAGCCCATTGAAGCCAACCATAGCATAATACATTCGGCGAGCATAAAGCATCTGATGGGAGACGGACTCACTGTCATAACACAATCCACACTGAAGAACTTTCAGAAGCTGATGCTCTTCAGTCTGAGCCCAGGAGAGGAGAAGCGAGCGTGGCAAGAAGATAACCTCTTCCACTACTGCTACAACATCGTCTTCAGAGCCGGGTACCTGTCTCTGTATGGCACTGAGCCACACCAAGGGGCAGATGACACAGAGAAAGCTAATGAGCAAGATCGCATCCACTCTAACCAGCTGTTCCACGAGTTTCGGAAGTACGACCGCCTCTTCCCTCGCCTAGCCTATTCTGTGTTGCCTCCCAAGGACAAAATGGAAGCTGAACGGCTGAAGAGGTTCTTCTGGAGCATGCTGTCCATGAAGAAGGACAATATCAGTGGGTGGATAAGTGATCAATACCAGCTTATGGCAGAAAACGGTGTCCCCAAGTACATGCAGGAACGCTTCATGTTTATGCTCCTCTGGGCATCCCAAGGCAATACGGGTCCAACTGCTTTCTGGCTACTCTTGTATCTAATGAAACATCCAGAAGCTATGAAGGCTGTGAGGGATGAAGTAGCTAAAGTCTTGAGGGAGCATGGCCAGGAAGTGAAGCCAGGGAGCCCACCAATTGACATCACTAGGGAGATGTTAAACCAGACTCCTCTTCTGGACAGTGCTCTGGAGGAGACCCTAAGGCTGGTTGCAGCCCCAATACTGATCAGAGCAGTCCTCCAGGACACCAGACTTAAGACAAGCAGCGGAACAGAGTACACTCTCCGCAAGGGAGACAGGGTGGCTCTGTTCCCGCATATCTCTGTGCAGATGAACCCAGAAATTCACCCCAAGCCTAATGAATTTAAGTATGACCGCTTTGTAAACCCAGATGGCACCAAGAAAGTTTTCTACAAAAATGGGAAGAGGCTGAAATACTTCAACATGCCTTGGGGATCAGGAGTATCTATCTGCCCTGGGCGGTTCTTTGCTGTAGCTGAAATGAAACTGTTTGTGTTCTTGATGCTAAGTCACTATGACCTGGAACTGGTCAACAAAGAGGAGGAGATCCCAGCGATAGACATCAGCCGCTGGGGATTCGGGACGATGCAGCCTGTTCGTGATGTTTGCTTCAGATACCGACCACGCTTTTGATTTGAGATGTCCTTGTTGCATTGTTTGTTCTGGTGTTATCTGTGAAATAAATTGTGTGATCCCATGGTTATCAGATTGGTGTGGCACCAACACTAATGATCTTGTTTGCTTAATGGTTATCATGGCTTTTTCTCTTTGCCTCCTTGACATGTATCGCTGTTCTGTGTCTCCAGTTATTCTGGTGTTGGGTTATGTGGTAACAGCTCACCTGCACACCCATAAAGGAGCACAGAGAGACAAATAGTACCCTGCCAGGCTACTTGCCAGCCTCATCATGGGGGTCATCAGCCCATCAAAAGCCCATCTGCACTAGCCCAGAGGAGCACAAGGGCATACCAGCAGGTGGGAACCCAAATTAAGGGCTTCCAAGGAATGAGTATTTTGTCCAGGTCCCTCCCAGGACTGTCCCAGTGGAGCCATCAGACCCATAATCCCGGTGTGAGGCCCATTGAAATGTGTCCTTGGGATCACCATCTGGACTAAGGGGGATTGCTGTCAGGGGAGGGGGCACATCTTATGGTAGGCAGGGGAAGAGCCTTTTGGGATTGCACTGATTTTATGATGGAATGTTTAAGGGAAGAACCAAAGGTGGGGAAAAGGAGGGATTTAGGTGATTTGGGGAGAAAAATAGAGGGGTAAGGGGAAAAAAATGGCTGGTTGTGATTAAATAGGCAGCTGGTCCATACACTTGTCTGGTCACACCCTGCACCTGATCAGCACAGTCTGTTCTATTGTCTTATTAAGTTCCTTTCCTTAAACTCCAGACCATGAGTTGGAGGTCCCATGTGTCTGTGGTGTCGGCAGCTGGGGATGGGTGTCTGGGGTACAGTGCCTGAACCTTGATGGGGAGGTGAGCTCCTAGCGTCTTGACGGTCCTCTACCCTCTCCTTGATCCCCATGGGCCGATGGCGTTCCCAGGAGATGCCTACTAGAAAGTGCCACCTCCAATCCAAATTTCAACCCCATACTCTGCAAAGGCCCAAAGCGGCTATAAGGAATGGGATAGGGTGATGAGAAGGAGATAGAAAACCAATGTGGGGCATGAAAAAACAACTTCAGCCCCTTACAGGCTACAGCCACTGCAACCTTATGAGCCCCCAAACATCTGTTTTATCCACCAAATCCAATGCACAATAAATCTTTGCTCTAAGCTTTTCTTTTTTTTTTTTTTTTTTTTTTTTTTTTTTCTTTCAATAATTAGGGCTCTGACATCACTCAGAAGATAAAACACAGCATTTTAACACTGACACTAACCTTGGACTTTGGAGATTATGTATGATCAAGGAATGAAACTCAAACAATTTCACATGTGCCCAAGCATCAAAGCCAGATACTAATCTATCCTGCAAAGGACAGGGTTATGTTGTAACTGCATATTGAGGGCAAACTATTGCGTATTGCCAGACTGGTCGTTAGCCAGTGTGGAAATTTAGGAAGAAGCTATCAAGCAGCTGTGGCAGAGGCAAGGAAAACCAAAAACTACTTGTCACTGCACAAGGCCTGACTGTGACAATAAATACTCCCATTAACAATTCCAGCAGCTTTTCACAACTTCCATGTTCCCTCTACAGTTCTCCCCTCTTTTTAGTTACCTGTGTGTTCATTTCTTTGCTCTGCTACCAAGAATTAAGCTGAAGCTCTTCCCATGTTCTGGTGAACGGTATGACAGCTCCAAACCATGCCCAGGAATGCCTCGGAATAGCTGGGCAGGTCAGAGCCGTAGTGACACCCTGGCCAAGGGATGTTCCCACTCCAAGGCAATACTCTAGCAAGAGTATATTTTGTGTGGATGGTTTGCATGAAGGTTGTTTACTGCTAATGCACAGTGTATATTTGTGGTTATCACTTGTAGGGACCCCAGATCAGAGTTGAGGGCTGAGGGACGGGTGTTGCACAAACATGGTCTAGGCTTGGGAGTAGGATATAAAAATAAGGACAATGACAATGATTCAGCAGAAAAATCTGGCTTTACTTCCTTGTCAGAATGGTTTATTTAACCAAACAGTATTGAGTCTATAAAAGACCCCAGACATGCTCAAATGCATGCAGTTATGAGAAGCAACAACAACAAAAAAATTACTTCATTTGAGTCATACACAGAAGAGTGTGAAAGCTCCAAATGAGTTAATCTGCAATTCAGTTTTATGCTTGGATGGCACTGAGCTTTCAATCCCAAAGTGTACCAGCAAGAGCAAAGAACTAGCCTGTGCCAATAGAAACCTTATTGTATTTGTAAAAGAAGTTAAATTGGAAGGAATCCAGGGTCATGAAAAGTTTACTGGAGGGACAGACCTCATGGTAGTGTCTGTCTCGTGTAACTTCTCTATCCCCCAAGAGAACTGAGCATGGAGTCTGGCCTTAAAACTTTGGTTTTCTCTTCTGTAGTGGATAGTGAAGACAATATTACTTTGACATTCAAAGCTTTATGATCTATTGAGTCAGTGTCTGCTCTCAGTTACAGTTCCTGCTCTGCACACTGCAAAGGAAAGAGTCATGATGCTGCACACTTCAGGTTTGGAACAATACGAGTTAAACGTGTTGGAAAAGACAATCCCTGGTTAAACAGCATCACTTCTAGTATTAAACTGTAATGCATTAGGAACTGTTTTCCGGTTCTCATTCCTCTAAACACAGCCAGATACAGCTCTGAGAAAGCCTCTGCTTACTGCTTCTTGTAAGGAAAATTGAAGAAACTCAGATGCACCAGTGGATACATCATTCACTTCAGAGAAACTCAAAGGTTATAAGTACAAAACGATGACACAGCTATCACCATCCATTGCAAAGGAAAGCGGATTTTGAAGGAGGAAGAGGAACATCAAAGTTCAGGATTTTTTAAAAGAATTAAAACACACAGCATTTGCCCTCAACACTGCTGCCCCATCTCCTGGTAGCTGTGCCTATGCACTCCCCAGAGAAGAGCAGCAAAGTCTCGTAGTGGTACAACATCTGCGTGTAACTAGGTCATGGCCACTGTTGCATTTGCTGCCTTTTCTGTCTGGTGGCCAAGTTATTCCCATGAGTCTCAGCATATGCAGAAATACCTTGTGGCAGGCAGGACGCAGAGACAAACACAGTCAAGCCAGGCAGAATGGGAGAGCATTTCTGATGGGAAGCAAAGCAAGGCTGCAATGAACCACTCACACCACCACCTGACAGCTTGGGTGGGCTCAGGAGAGGCTTTCTGCACAAGCCTGTTTTAGCCCCACTTGTGGGGAAAGCCATACAACTAAATGCTCCATGTGCCAACCGTAGGGAACATCTTTCCCAGAGATGCCCATAGACCAAGTCACAGCTTGGTTTCTTCAAGAGTTGTTTCTGTGTGTTTGTTCTTTAACACATTTTTAAGATAATTGATGCAGATACAGTCAGACAGGTGAGTGGCTGCCTATGTGGATCCTATGTGACATCTAGGTCTAATGGGAGACTTCAAATACATGCCCCCAAAGCCAAGTTTTGTGGTGTTTTCAAACTCTGAAACCTTTGAGGAGCTTGGTCAACTCTGCAGACATGACAGTGGAGGTGCCCATGGAGAACTGGTGACCCTCCATGGAGCCACACAGCTCACTGAGCAGTGGAGCGGGCTCTAAGAGAGCAGGAGCTGGGCTGCCCAGCTGGACAGGCATACAGAGAGTCAACGTGGGCCCCAGGGAAAACAGTAACTTTTCTCAAAGCTAAGCAAGCTGTGGCCTCTTTCAGGAGTAGGATGTGCAATGTATCAGTTACTGGAAAACCCCATTGCTATTACCCTCCCCATACACACCTTGTGCTACAAAGTCAAGCTACAAAGCTGCTTTCACGGAAACTGTCTCTGCTTGTTTCTTGTGACTTAGGCAGGAAAGAGTTTCCACACAGAATATGAAAAGCCCTGGTTAAAATCTCTTCTGTGGTACCGCTGTCACACACGTAGCACACACCTCCTTCCTTTGCAGCCTCTTGCTGCTCCACAGGTAGAATAATAGCCCTCCTCTAGACCCGTGTTAATCTAGAGTCGGGCCCGTGGGGATGGTGGAGAACTTGGCCAGGTAAGTGACATGCTGAGCCTGACCACTGATGGATGCTAGCAGAGTCTCACTACTGCAGCCTTGTGTCTGGCACTTGGCAAAGACATAGGATCACTGGACAGGTTGGGAGGGAGCTCAGGATGTCTCTGGACCAACCTTCTGCTCAAAGCAAGGTTGGCTATCAGCTCAGGCCAGGCTGCTCAGAGCTTTAACTAGTTGGACCTCTAAATCCAAAGCCTGAAGATATATTGCTGTCTAATATTAGCCCCCCCCACCCCCCCCGAAAGTGCTTTACTCTTTCCTATTTTCCCTTCATAACTGGTCATTGAATTCTTTTAGATTGGAGGCAGGTGAGAAACCCACCAGTCACTCAGACCTTGTTGAGGTGGTCACGGTGGGATGAGCAATGCAGTAACATCTGAGAGCGGGTCTGGTGATCACGTCCTGGGGCCAGAGGCAGAAGTCAGTGCCCAGCATTTGCGCGCATAGAATCTTGCTGACCTCAGGGAAGGATTTGCAGAGCTGCTTGGGGCTGGTAGCTAGTCCCATTCACCAATCTTTCCTGGTTATTCAAGGGAGCATGCAGCCAAGTGACACACATAGTGTCAAGTTACCTTTGGTCAGCTGAGCCGTATTAACAGTCTGTATTTCTGTTCTCACCTTGTGGCAATACACATATATGGATTCATTTGCTCAGTTGTGCTAAATTGCATTCACAGGGAGCAGTTACCGCGGCTCAGCTGATGCACAGCAACTTGGCAGGACTATTTGGTACAAAACACTAAGTGCAGAAGGGGAGAGAGAGACAATTCACGCCTGTCACCACATCCACGTCACTGTGCAATCATGAGGCCGTACTTCGAGCACAGCAGATCCCTTTTCTTTTCCCGATCAGTGAGGAAATTCCTCAGTTTGGTGGTGGGGAAAGTAACCAGTGCTTGCTGCCTGTGGTCCAAACCTGTCTCCTGAAGCCATGGGCTCTGAAGGCACTCTGAGGCTGATGGCCTTCCCCTAGAGCAGACAAAGGTGAAAAGCTGAGTCAGGGATCTGTACTGGGTGAAGAGGCTCCTTGCAAATGTAGAGAAAGAAGGGGTGGTAGCCAGGATCTGCACCAACTGTGCTGTTGGGAGAGCAGAGACCATCTTACCAGGGGTTTGCACACAGTGTGCTCTGGAGAAAGGACACTGCTCCCCCGGAGAGACCCGCGTAGCATCGCGTGAGCTTCACTTTACCCTTCCTGGTTGCTCTCAGAAACTCACAGGCTACATCGGAGCTGACAGGGTAGTTGGCACTCAACCTGCCCCAAAAGAAGAGAACTGATCAGCATGACAGGCATAGCTTAAGATGCTCCTTCTCCCAGGAATTCTCACCCAGCAGTGAGAGGAGGGTCATGGTGATGCACAGAGATATCATATAGGAAAAATCTCAGAGGCCACTGTTCTTCAGCTGGTTTCATGAGTTTGGCTGCTTTCCCTCTTGGTGTAACGTGAATTTTCTTGGTAAAGCTGGCGCCTTTCAGATGAGTCTGAATGAGAAACGCCAGCAGCTGCTGTGTTATAAAACAACCTCCTTACTCTACTCAGAGACATCATTGGGACTGGGCATCCTTGCATGGTGCAGCCAGCTCCATACCCTCCGTCACACAGCCTTCTGTGTATTACCAAGGAGAGGGGGCATAACTGAGGGTAAGGCTCTGAGGCAATGCAATCTCTCCCAGTTGATGACTCTGAAACTGCACTTTTAAAGCTGCTCATAGGGCAGGAAATGACAGACTGACTTACATGATGAAAGCTGTGATTCCGATGGACCAGATGTCAGTTTGCGGGAGGGCTCCTTGCTCTGTCAGGAGTTCTGGAGCTAGAAAAGCAAACTGGTGTGAGCCAGACTCCTCTCCAACGCACTGAGACCAGCACAAAAGCAGTGGGTTATGCTTTGCTACCTTCCCAAGAGTGAAGAAGAAAAAGTTTCTAGTACAGGAAGGTGGCTGAGTAAGACACCCTCGTGTCTGCAATGAAACCTTGAGAACATCACGTCCCTGAGCTCTGGACACATGCATGCCAACCAGAGCGGTGTTGGCCGTGACCTCTGTCTTTGTCCTCTGTGGTCTGCCGGTGGGATGGCTGTCACCACTAGCTGTACCCACAAACTCACACTGTTACTGGAGGGCAGCACCTGGGAGGCTTTGCTTGCTGAGGCCAACTGCTGCCTTGACCAATGGACTGTCTTTCTGTTTACAAAAGATTGCATACAAGGCCAAGGCTGCTGTTACTGAACTCTGTACTCACCCATGGTTTCAACATAGTCTGTGCACTTGTCCATAGTAATAACTTTGTCTTGTGTATAGAACTGTGCATTGCCAAAATCCAGGAGCTTCAGCAGGCTGGGCTCGGTGATAATCATGTTTTCAGATCTGAGATCCAAGTGCAGGATGCTGTGTGCGTGGAGGTATTCAGTAGCACTGAGGATCTGCCACAGGTAATCTCGGACCTCCACTTCTGAGTAGGATGTCCTGGTAGAAGAAAGGGGATAGAAACCAGAGGTGTCCTATCTGCATGCCCAAGGGCACAATTCTACATCCACTATCATCCTCCCCTGGATGTCTAATCCCATGAGGCCTTTGAGAGTCAAGAATAAGCAACTCTATTCATTTTGCACATCTGTTGTACATAGAGAGGCTGGTGGGTACTGTGAGTCAGGTTTACAGATGCAAGAAGTTCAGGAGGATGTAGAGCTGCATGTCAGAGAAAGCAGTGGCTGTGCAGACATCAGAACACAGATGTGATGCCCACCATTCCCTCTCCTTTAATCAGAGGATTTCAGCAGATCCATTTTCTGCTTTTGTGAGAAATAATGTGGAGAAGTGAGGCTTCTTGAACCACAGTAATCTCCTTGTTATGGGAGAGGGGGTTTCATATCAGCTACTGTAAACTGCTTTCAACATCTTGACTGGGTGACCCTGAATTGTCCCCTACCCCAACCCTGCAAGGAGTGTAAGTAATTTTTTTATGTCACAAGAAGTTGCATAACAAAGGAATCACAAATCCCATGTGCAATGACAGCACACTGGAACAGATGTAGAGAGATAATCCAGTTTGTCAGCAGAAGAAAGTAAGTGTTTTGCTCCCTACACCAGCCCCGACTGGAAAACCCTTCCCTCCAGTTGTTATTACCGTAATGCCAAAGAATGGAGTAGCTCTGGTCCCACGCACATCTCCTGGATCAACACTAAGTGCCGTGGGCTGACATAGGCTCCCTTCAGCTGAGCTATGTTTGTGTGATGAAGCTTCCTCAGGACTTGGTACTCCAGGAGCACGGTCTGCTTGTCCTCTTGCCAGTAAGGGATAATTTTAGCAGCTAAAGTCTTGCCGCTTACTTTTTCCCTGCACTGTCGGACGATGCTGAAACGCCCTCTGGTACAAAGAATCAGAAAGCCAAGTTATACCTCTCTGCTACTCCTGGAAGAGCCAGGAGCTTTTGTTCTTGAAGATCACCAGGAGCCCATGCTGTGTTTTTCATCCATGCCCAGTGTGGAGTTATTGCATCTATTGTCACAGTTTGCACACCCTCCTGTGTCTCTAAATTGTGCAGTCACTTTAAATTGCAGGAGTGAGAGCTTAACTCCCCCTGCTGGCAACAAATTTGGTGCCTATCTTTTAGGCAGAGAAAGTTGAATCCCAAACCTGTGTCTGAAACTGATAGCTCCAAAGGTTGATGCAGCAAGGAGAGGAGCCTTTGTTAGCCCTGGGCTTACTTCACAATATACTAAGGGGCTACCCTGGTGCCCAGCACAGACCCTTTTGCTCTCCCAGAAAATCCACACCTGAATCTTGCCAAACCAAGATGAAGATCTCAGGTTTACATGTATTGCTGTGGAGGTGTTTTCAACATAACCCTGTGACACTAGTGAGCAGTGCATTTATGAAAGCGACTGGTCTAAACTCCAGCCACATGTGGCATTTCCCTCTGGCTGGTTGAGTGCTCAGATGTATTCGTTACCTTTTGATCTCTGTTTGGAAGGCATAGGTTTGGTAGGTTGGGAAGGGCTCGGATGGTGCGATTATTTCACTCTCTTCTTCAGCAGCAGCTGATGGGAAGCTCTGCATTGCAGCACGAAGTTCTGCAGAGAAAAAGTGACAGGAATTACATGGGAAAACACCTCTGTCTGGAAACTGGAGCCTCTCCGAGACACCCTCCACTATCTATGAACAACAAAGGCGGCAGCAGAACTTTCTCCAGACAAGTCTGCAGGTTGCCTCCCAGCTGTGGCACACAATGCTATTTGAATGCAACAGATTCTGGATGGTCTACCCAGTAATTCCCTCGTGTGACCACTCCAGACTGTGAGCTGGATTGTACATTGTGTGCATGATATCAAACAGCTCAGCCACTGGTTCTCATCTTCTCACATAACAAGTCATCAGGGCATGATAAGACACTGACAAAGAATTACAAAATTCTTTTAGTTGTGTATTTCAAGGCAGCAGCTGAAACTTGTTGCTCAGTTTCTGGCATGTGGTTGTGTCTGGGTGCTCCCTGAAATATTAAAACAGCCCTTGACACAAGCATCTGCTTGTAAAAGCTGGGCACGCTGAGATATCTTAATGAATCCTCGGCCAAGAGAAAGCAGAGGATTTAGGGTGAGTTAAAAATATCTCTGTGAACTGAGTTTTACAGAATAATCCTCTCCACTGGGAGGAAATTCCCTTTAGACCATCTTTCCACTTCTTGGCAGAAGGGATACTTCCTTTGCTACAAGGATATATATTTGCTTTGGAGTTATGTGTTTCTTAATTTCAAAAACACGTGAATAGTAGAAAAGTATTCAGACAGGTGAAAAAAATAGTAATTTGATCTTTCTTTACTTCAGAGGCAAAATACAGATGAAAAATGCACCACAGTAGGGTGATAATTCCTAGTAGCAAACACCAGAACATAAATAAATAAACTACTGAACTTAAGGCTGAGTCCATAACAAAGAGCAGGTCCAGGGCTTTCACCAGTGGCAGATCTATAGCAACAGATCAGTGCCTCCAGTAGCACATTCATTGGCCCAGAGCTGTTTCCTCATGATCTCACATCAAAAACTGAGTGTGTCTTCAGTGGGTAATTGATAGTTTCCCGATTTTTGTTTTATTTTTATATTCCTATATGTATGTATGTATGTATTGTTTATATTTACATATTGTTATTATTTTATTATTTCTTTGTTATGTATTTACACACATTCCCCTAACTGTGTCCAGAATTAGAAAATAATTTACTTTAAAATAAGAAAGCCAAAGAGAAAGAAGCCCTAAACCACCATGAGCCAAGTGGACTTGGCCTTGATTCACTTGATCTTGACTTCTGGACCCGCATCCAAAAGGGTGCAATTGTTTTGATGCAGGAAAACCACAATGCTTTCTTGTCATTTGATCTTACCCATTTGATCTTTCCCAGTGATTTTCACTTTGGCAGATGGGTTGCTGTAAGGGCCCCTTCCTGCTTTACTGGTGCAGGCTATCCTGAAGCAGTAGATAAATCCCTTGGAGAGATTTTTGGCATAGTAGCAGCAGTCAGCAATGTCAGAAGCAAGAGTCGTCCACTCCCCATCTTAACCAAGGAAAGACAGATGAGAGATTAGGACTCATTAAGATGGTCACACTGGGTTGGTTTGGGTTTTTTTTTTAATTTTGGGGGTTTGGTGGGATTTTATTTAATCAGCTTTACTTATATGCTTGGAATATGGAAGAACCAGTGAAATCTTGTAGAGTGAAGGAAAAACTGGCTTGCTATTGGCCAACTTTTGTGCATGGTGCCACTCGCTGTACATGTGCCAAACTCATCTTTTCTGAAATGAGCTGGTTTATATCTAATTAGTCCAAGGTGTGGCAATATTGTTTCAGAGGAATGGTGGAACTTTCCTGTATAGTTTCTGTTTATCTAATTCATGGCACCTATCTCTAATGCAAATATACATCAAAAAACTCCAAACAAAAGCCTAGCAAAAACATATATTATTTTTCCATTTGGCCCTGTCTTCAATCCTACTGAAACCATGAGGTGCAGGGAATTTGAGGACAGAACTATCCACTAACACCATATTAGCAAACCCAGTGATTGAAACTGGTGGGTTTACTCAGCTTTTATGAAACTCAGATGATTTCTCAGGGAACTGAAATTGTAGGTATGTTTTGGGCTCATTATTCATGGGACTGAGGTGTGAAGTATAAAATCACTAGCAAACATTTAATGATCCTTCATTTCACATGATGCTGTATCCCGTACTTCGCCATTGCTGCTGTGCTCAAGGCTGAACTCAACTCCCTGAGATTGCCTGAGATTAAATCCATCCTTTCATTCAAATAAACGCTGGTAGAGAGCCTCAAACCATAGGACGAGCAATATTTGGCACCCAAAACAAAGGTATCAATGACTTTGCAGGGTTGAATTAGGGTGTACGTTTGTATAAGAAGTGAAGATACAGCTTAGAAACAGAGCAGAGTGTCTGCAGAAGCAGTGTACAAAAGCCAAATAATGGATAAAACAAGGAAAAATTTTTTTTCTGATTATCTTAAATCTCCTGTGTTGAGGAAAGCAGCACTTTGCATGTTCCTGCCAAATACACAGAATGCAATGGAATATTGTAGATGTTGTTTCGTGTTTTTCTTCCTAATTGGAACAACTTGCATTTGTATCCTCCCCAAAGTCTCGCCCTACAGTTGTGTCAAAAGGAATAACAACAAAGAAAGCTGTGTTGGAGGAAAAGTGGCTGACACCAGCCACAGAGTGAAAAGGCAAAGCTGCTGCCCATGCTCCTGCCAATCCAGAAAGGAGTGCATATATGTTTGGAGAATTGAAACATGGAGCAGTTGAATCCAAAAGGCTGTGTATGTGTGACTGCAGTAGAAATTACTATCAGACATAGCATTCATAATCATAACAGCAAATGCAGTTCCAAGAGAGATGGAACAGGCTTGGGGATTTGATTCAAAGTTCTTGGAATTAAACAAGAAAACATCCACTGATTTTGTCAGGCTCTGGACCAAATCTTGGAAGAGAACATCAAAGGGTTGATTCAGTTTTGCCAAACTTTTGTCATCTTTTCCTGGCTGTTCGGCCTAAGCCTCCTGCATAATCAATGGAAAAAGAAAGCATGGCTGTTTAGCATAGGTTGAATTGCCTTTTTGACAGACCATCTGTCTCCACAGACTGCACAGAAAGCCTGGGTATAGGATGATATTGTCTGCTGATCATTATTGCTGGACATTATTAGTGTATAATGTCAGAACTGTAATTTGAGAGGACTGCTCAGGACTGGGTATCTGGCACCAGCCATGCATATTCTTCTGTAGCTGTTCACTTTTTGGTCACAGCTTCCATGTGACCTAGTTTGATTCACACTTTAGCAAAGCCTTTGTATGAGTATACATATTCCAGGCTGATTTAGCCAGTACAACATCTAACTTTTACAGGGCTAAATGATGGCTCTATGCATTTCATTCCAAACTCTAAACTAGGGAGCTAAAGTCAGGCTGGTTTTGAATAAAAATAAAACATCTGGCTGGTGAAGAGATCATACAAACTGAGATGTTCCCCGCAAGGTGTAAGGGCGGTACTCCACTTTACCTTCACTCTTGCACTGGACAGTGTAATGGACGGGGGTGTTGGTTTCCACAGGTTTCCAGACCACCTGCACTCCATCCTCATAGACCTCCACGATGTCAGGGGGTGGGGGGCTGGGAGGAACCTCTGTCGAGAGGAGGCACAAAACCCAGTGACTGTTAGCAATAGCACCGCTGTGATACATACCTCTACACCCAGCATTTCTCAACCACAGGTATTCTTTTTTTTTTTATATATATATATATAAAATACATATGGTTTTTATATATATAGGTATATATGCACACATAACTAGTGGAACATCAATGTAACCATGCCTAATTTAAACTCAGCATTAAGATTTTGAAGTCTGGTTCTAGAACCACATGGTTACTGGAATGGCTCTGGATGCAGGACTGAAACTAAAGAGTAGGAATAAATACTGCAAAATGTGCCACGTTACCAGACAGCAAGGGCTGTGTCTGTGGACTAGAGCAGGCGAGGGAGGGATTGTCCCCTGAACCTATCTGCAGAAATCTCACCTTACAGGTATTTATAGGTCACATTTTAGGGCAGAAATACTCATTATACCTACACTTCTGTGGATACTTCTCCTACCTGCTTTTCTTAGAATGCAAGAGGTGGATGCTGAGCCCAGGGAGTTTGTGGCCACACAGGTGTAAATTCCAAAATCATCAGCACTAACAGAGAGAATAGTTAACAGCTGGAAGTTTTTGAGCGTGGCTGAGATGAGGATCTGGCTGCTTTTGTGGACAGGTATCCCATCTGAAAAGCAGAAGATGGGAGAGATAAGTACCCTGCACATTTATACCAAGGTGTCTAAAACCCTCCCTGCACCCCTGTCCCAGAGGTTAGGGACTCCCTAGGGGGATGCCAGTGTCACCTCTGAACCAGTCAATGTGCAGGGAGGAGTGAGCCGCCGTCCGGCACGACAGCGTCACACACTGTCCAATGGCAGAAGCCTGATCGATGAGCTCCTCAACAAATGCAGGTGCTGCAAAGGAGAGGAAAAGCAGTGACTCAGAGTAGCCAAGAGGACTATGTGGAAAATAAGTGCACACATGACATAAGAAAGCATTTTTAATTGGTTCAGGAATATTTCTGGGCCATGCTGTGGCACTCTGACTACTGGCTGGAGAATCCCCTGGGCATTTGGCACACAGGTGCAGGAGCACTGTTCAGCCCCGTGGATGTAGTGTGACTGCTCATAAATGATAATCCAGATGGGCCTTGGAAGGTCCACAGGGAACATCTGCATTGCCCATCCCTGCTGGTACAGCTAAGGCAGCGGAACAGCTCAGAGGAGAGTGAGCACGTCACAGCAAGAGTTTTCTTCTGGCCTAGCTTAAATGTGGGGACAAAACTAAAGGATGGTATTTCAAGGACGAGGAGATCAGATCAAGACAACAACAGAAGAGAGAAGAGATATAAGATGGATATGGAAGGAGAAAAAAAACCCATAGAACATCAAATCTGCTGTTGTCTCAAGAGGAATGGGGAGACCAGGTTTTCTGTGCTCTCCAGGGCTTTTTCTCCGCAGTGCCCACGAGGTGCCAGTCTCACACACCTGCGTTTCTCAGTGCTTGGTTGGGCTCTGCTGAGTGCTGGGACATTAACCTGAGCTCAGAAAACGCTCCTGCTGGACTCAAGGGGAAATTTTCCTGGGCAAAGGGAAATGTGGCTTTGCTACCATGCCATTTGAGGCTGCTGCACCATTTTTCATTTCATAGATCTATAGCAGTGTGTCTGGCCCTAACACCTGCATGCAGGACTGCAGCATAGGAATTCATAATTCCCTGCTTCTGCTATACCACCCTTGGATAGTCCATTATTCTCTTTCTACACATGGATTTTTATTCATTTGCAGTGGCTTCCTAGAATGGCTTCAGTTTGCAAGCAATGCCAAAGACAAGACAGTTTCAGTAAGGATATAGTCATGATGTAAACGGGGGAGACTGGCTCATATTGCATGAGTGGTCCAGGTCATCTTAAGACAATCACTGAAGATCCACACTTAGAAACAGGCCTCACATAGCACTGTCATATTCATTAGTGATACTTCATAATAAAACTAATTGATGACTTCTGCAATAGCAATACCTTTCTCCTTAGGCATGAGGCTTGATAACTTGAATGAAGAGAGTGCTGATTTCCTCTTCAGAGATCCTTCAGTCCCTGTTAAGAGCTCTTTTTCTACTGCCTCGCTTCCCAGCTCGCCAAACTCTGTTTTGAAGAAAGGATGAGAAGTCACTCAAGACCATCCTTCTCCCTACGGCATCCACTTACAGCAGACAGTTCTGCCATTTACACATAAATAGCTCAGCAGCCACAGGTTTCCTTGTTGAGCCTTCAGTCAACAAGGAAGGCTGTGGCAGCTATTACAAACAGAATGGTGTCCTGGAAGAGCAGGGCGTATCTCGGGATGGCAGAGAAGGACAGATTCTATTGTTCAGTGTCATCCACTTAGGTAGCCAGGGTGACTTCACCAACTTGTCCCAGTCACTTTAGCTTTAAAGATTTACCATGGTAAGATGATAACTTCACAAGAAACTGCAGCAAGGAAAGCATCATCCAGCTCTGATCTGCTTTTGTGCAAACTCAGACGGGGGAATCTAAGCCACTTCCATCAGCAGATTAACCCAGCTGACTCTGCACTAAAGTGAGCCAGTAACACAGAGCTCGTGGTGGGGATGAACTGGAAAACTCCAGTTTTGCAATGACTGTCTAACCACAGCTTCAGATATGCTGGGGAAAAGGGAAAAGGCAGATTTAGCAGAGCCCAGTTACTGCAGCAGATCTATGAACATACAGAGTAAAATAATTACCTTCCTCTGGCTCAGGAGATGTCTTTCCTTTTAGGATTCTTGAAATATGGGCAACAGAAGCTTTTACTTTCTTCTTCAGAGTCTGTTCCACTGACTGCTCCACTGAATGAGACCTTGCATATGGCTTAAAGAGTCCTGGCTTGTTGTAGAAGGAGCTTTTCTGCTTACCACTTGAGTCCTTTTCAGGGCCATACATTTCCTTATGACTCTCTGACCCTTTTCCCATGGCTAAATTGTTAGTTACCTTTGAATCCTCAGATATTTCCAGATGGTTCTTCCTGTTCTTATTCTCTGCCTCTTCTCTGATGCACAGTCTTTTATCCTTATGCAAATGTCCTGCAGGAGGTGACCTTGCCCTTTCACCAAAAGGTATAAACCGTCTACCAGTTGGTTTGGGTGGAGGCTTTCTATAGTTCATAAATTCAAATGGAAAATAGACAATGTCATACAAATCGGAGAAGTTCAAATAGGCAGGCTCTACCTCCGATATGTCAAATTTTGGAGTTCCACTGCCAATACTGGGTGTTTCATCCGACAGGTCTTTGATTTTCACTAAAGAGACTTCTAAGTGTTTACCAGTGTCCTTGCTCACTGACACTTGACTGGGTCTTTTTCCAGTGTCCAAGTCATCTGTTGAGGAAACACTCACTTGACTAGAAGTAGGGCTTTCAATCGCTAAGTCCTCCAGATGCTCACATTCGTGAGGAACTGTCTGTTCTCCCTGCCCTTCCAGTACCGCTGACTCACTCACAAGATAGGATTCTGCAAGATCATCTAGCTCAGAGACTTCTCCTCTTTTACCCCCTTGTACAGAAGGGAAGGAGGTGTCTGTGGGTGCTTGGCTACCTGGGCCTTTGAAGAACACCTCTGTGGGGGGAGAGATTTGCTTTCTGCATTCCTCTTCACCAGAAACTGAATCTGCCCAAACATTCATCTCTTCAGAGAGGGACACCATCTCATCCACTAAGCCCTCCAGCACAGCAGACTCCTCATCACTGTAAAAAGAAGACCTGTGATATGAGAGCCCCTGACTTTGATCCCTGTGGAGCGATGGTGGGACAGTTTTTCCATCATCACATCTTGCACTTTCTAAGGCAATACCTCTACCCTCACCGTAAACCTTTGGATGTTCCTCATATTCTAGCTCATAGACTGAAGTTGGAGCAACTTCTTGTTGTGAAGTGGTTAAGACACCTGGAGGCCCACCCTCCAGATCAGCAGAAACTCTGCCACTGGGGTAGGCAGCCCTGCGCTGCTCAAACACCTGATGTCCATCCCTGGGGAAAGGAGCAGGCATAGTCTGTCCAGCTGCTTGGCTTCCACTTGCTGTCACAACAGAGCTGCAGAGTGATACCATTGGATGTTCTTGCTTTTCTCTCTCATAGACTGAAGGGAGGGCAGTATTTTGGGAGGACACAGTTCTAGCTGGGTGTCCGCTCTCCAGAACAGCAGGCACTGTGCCATTGCCCTCAGAAACCTTCCGGGGTTCATCTCTCTCTATTTCAGCCTCATGTGCCAAACTAGGAACCACCTCTGTGACAGCTGAGTTTTCATTCCTCAGAGCAGCAGGCCTCTCCCTGCTATGAGCTGGCTGTTCCCTTTCAGCCTCCTGTGCTCCATCAGAGACTGAAGCCAGCACTGATTTTGGTGGTGGGACTTTTGGAACCAGATGCTCTCCCTTCAGGACGGCTGATGCTGTGTCTATGTGAACAGGAGCCCTCTTGTGTGCTTGGCTTCCACCATCAGGGACTGATGGTGGAGTGATTCCTGTAATACCCCCTCCTTCATCCTCCAGGACAGCAGATCTCACCTCTTTATAGGTCTTCATCTTCTGATGAGCACCTTCATTAGCTGTGTTCAGAGCAGTTAGGGTACCTGGCCGTTTGCCCACCAAGACAGTAGTTGCTGGAACACTTTGACCAGGAAGTTCCTGACTTTTGTCTTTACATACTGGAAGTGAATTGGTTTGTGTTTGCGGGCTTGTTAAAACAGTAGAGCTTTCATGCTCCATGAGACCAGATTTGGCAACACTATGAGCAGAAATCTTCTCCTGTGAATGTTTCTGCCTGTTGTCTTTCCAAGGTGGGACTGGGGCTGTCCTTTCAATAAGCAAGCTTTCACCTTTCCGATCTGGATGGATGTCAGTACTGTGAGCAGACTCCTGGGGCAGATAGACACCTCCCTTACTTGTAGGGGCTGACTTGGAGATGGTTTCTGACCCTGTGAGAGCTGAGATGGACTGCTTGCCCTCCTGAAAACCAGTGTTAGAGGCACTACCAGGGGAAGATTTACCCTCCATGCTTTCATGTTTTTGAGCTGATGATGCAGTTACATCTGAGCACTGGACAGTTAGAATGGGGCTTTTGCCTTCCAAATCTTCCACTTTATCCTCAATGTAAGTAGCTTTTGACTTCTTCAGTAAATGTTTCCTCTTCTCACTCCTATGAGGTGAAACTGGAAGTCTCTCTAGCTGCTGCACAAAATTAGCCGGGCACCCATTACCCTCACATGGTGTGGAAGGAGGGGGCTGCCCTTCTGAGCAATCCTTGCTGGCTCTCCTGAAGACCTCTTGCTTTGAAGTGTCTGCAGAACATCCCTTCCCAGGCTCTGCAGACATGTCGCAGTGACCACCGCCTTCAGGGCAACTTTCCTGTGACAATATATCATAGTCTTCTTCCAAAATATCTTGTTCCCTCACTGATCTTGAGGGTCTCAGCCTGTAGTCATCTAGGGAACGGCTTCGGCTAGCACCCACAATGGCAGGATGTGGTGGTTTCCTTGCAGTGTCAAATGAAGCTGATTTGGTCAAGGAACCAAGTAGACTTTCCCTGTGATCATCTCCATCATCAGTCCTTCCTTCTTCTTCTTCCAGTTCGAACTGCTCTAGAAGGGGTTCACGGAGACCACTGAGGGGCACCTTTGAATATCCAGCTTTCCGGAAGGTCCTTCTGGCTCTGTCCATGTGCTTTCTGAACTCCCTGCCTGGTGAGGAAGGCCCCCTTGCAGGTAGCTCAGCTGCTTGGCTGTAGAAAGTGCTTTTAATGACACTCTGTCTAGGAACACAGACAGGTGCCTTTTCTGTCCCACCCCCAGCTTTTTCAGTTCTGTCCTTATCAGACAAAAATACATCTGGTTTTTCTTCCTGACATAAGTGTGATGTGCTTTCTGTGGAGGTCCTCACTGATGAAAGCTCAGCAGCACCGCTTCTTTGGGACTGCTCTGCTCTTTCATCTTGAAGTCTGGAATGGAGCCCTTCCTCTTTCTCCTTTAAGATACTTGTCATGAGCTCTTTACTTTCTGTAGGTGATTTGTCCCCCACCTCAGCTTTCATCGAAGCATACTTCCTCCTCATGGGTTTTACAGGAGGGACTGAGATTTTGGAGTACTTCTCTTCACTTGCATGTTTTGGAGGCTTCTGATGGCTTGGTGCATCAAATATGGACAAGTGCAGTTCGGGTGTAGAGCCAAAGTGCCTCTTCTTGGGGAAATGTGAGTTCTCATTGTCTGAGGAGGAGCCGCTAGTACTGGACGAAGTGCTTTCTTCAATAAGATGTCGGGAGATGGCCAGGGAGGTGTTGTCGTGAGTCTTTTCTAGGATTTCTGGGATAGACCGCATTACCAGTATGGATTTATAGCACATCAGAGACCGCTGAAAAGCAAAAAAAAGATACAGCCCAATCAGATGGAAACATGGTGGGAGTATCGTAAAGCAAGTTACCAAAATGAACTTCTGCACTCTTTAGTACCACACGTACTAGTTTAGTAACACAGTGCTACCCTTTTGTAGATAACACCAATCCAGGCCTCATTTGCTTTCCAAGTCTTCCTCTTCTATCATTCACAGAGGTGAAACTGTATTGAGTTCAGGGGACATACTTGCTGTTGTGAACAGGGAAGCAGGATTCTGCTTGAGATTTTCAAAGACAATCTGGCCATTTTAAGCAGATGGAAAATGAGTTTTTAATGGAGCACTTCAGATGAGACCCTAGCTGGAGTAAATGGCCTTAAATCCGTTGACTGCAGTACGACCTAGGGTGACTTAGGGCAACAGAAGACCTGCCATACTGTAGGAGGTAGGATTCATCTGCTCTAACTTCTGCCGTGTGAGACATCTCAGCTGAAGTTTAGCAGCTGGCCTCTTCACAGAGCCAACAGAGAGGAACAGGCATCTTCTGAAAGCAATCGATTGGATTATTTTACAGGACCTCAGGAAAAGAGGATTCTTCTTGGGACCTGTCTATAATTCAATACCAATTGCAAAGGCATCTGAGGGTACCTAACTTAGACACAACCATGTGTCTTACAGGCACCTGCATTAGACCACATGATTGCCAAGAAGTAAAAGACTAGATAATTTATTTCTGCCACATCCATCAACCATTCTCTCCTGGGCTTCTTCCCCATTCATAGCCAAGCTGAGATCTCTGCTGTGTTCACTGTCCTAGCCTGACAGACTTTAAAAGATGCAAATGTAATTAAATATATATATAACTAATAACAACCAACATAGATTAAGGCCAACTCACCTGCCACTTGCTTCGAGCCACAATGAATTTGAGCTGCTTGGTATTAATGAAATGAGCTGATTCGAGGGGGAGATTATGCTGCCAGGTGGAATGAGAGGAAAATCACTGGTTAAAAAATCCTGACTTCATTTCCTGAGAAGGTTTTTTTTAGGATTCTCTCCTTCCAGAATTGTTTAATTTAGGAAAGTTACAGTAGACCAAATGCTACAATCCCCTCATGGCTAAATTGTAGACAATCTTTCAATGATAAAAGCAAACCCCGTTCAATGCATTAAATCAAATTCCTGGGGCTTGGGGTAATTTTTAGCTCTTTTCTTTAGCAATTAAGGCATTGGAATATAAATCATAACTTTGCTTTGCTTTGCAAAACCACAGTTTCCTTTCTAGACATGTTATATCTGCTCATGTCAGTAGTAATCTTTAACTTTTATAAAGAAAGATTTCTCGGCATGTAAACACCCATGTGTCTCCTCTTTCTGGAGAGCCACGCCTGAGCTTCTCTGTAGGACAGAACATAGGAGACCAAGAGAAAAAAAAAGCCAGCAAATAATATCAAACAGCTTTAAGAGCTGCCCCTCCAAAGGTCTCTTCCAACCTCAATAGTTTTAATGACTAATAAAGAACAAGGACAAACTTACCATGAACCACTTGTGTGAAAGACAGTCCAAAGCAGTAGGCCTGGCTCTGATAAGAGAAAAGATCGCTGTTTTAGTAGCAAGTTACTTCCAACAGCAACCACAAGGTCTTCCTGAAAGTGCCTGCTTCATGTGGACACATGCACACACTTTTGTGTATGTCCTTAGGCTGATGGTTTAGAGCTGAGAAGCTGAACAGACCAACAGAAACCTTCAACCCAAGGTTTCCTTCCATGAAATGATCCTTCATTTTCAGCCTGAGACTTCCTGCGGATCCTCAGGAGGACCGCACGGCACTCTGCAGGGAGCCTGCCCAAGGGCACTGAGAGCAGCCCTAAGAGTGACTTCTTAGGTGGCCAGAGCAAAAATAGCTTTGGCAGCAGACAGAAAGAATAGAAATGAAATTAAAAAGCAAGCACCTGCAAAAAATGCCTTCAAGATGCCTATTTGTACTTGAAATCACTTAATGAATGTGGGTAATATTATTTAATTCTCACGTAACTCCCTCTATGTCAGTCCTTGCTCTTCCCTGTTGTCTATGTCATTTCAGAAACTTATCTGCCTGGAGGAGTTAGGGAGTAAGGACACCACCATAAACAGCCCTATTTGCAAAACTGTGTTTTGAGTAATGGGGAATAATAAAGAAGAATTACAGCATAACGCACCACACCGCACTCAGCTTTCTACCTTTCAAAACAACCGCAGCTTTGCTGAGACACCAAGGTCTTTGCATGCTGGCTGTAGGAAGCACAAAAGTGCACTCACTTGGGTTGCTGCTGTAGGATCCCTTTCATAAAGTCCTTCGCATCTTCACTCAAGTGAACAAAATCAGGAATGGTCCATGAAATTTCCCCATTCTGGATATTTAGAAGGGTTCCTCTGTCGTTCTCCCCAGCAAATGGAGACTTGCATGTCAGGCTTATTTATTGAACACCGTAAAATGAAAGGAGACAGACTTTAGACTTTTATTTAATGTTCAAATGACAGAAGCACAAATGTCTACATGGGGCTTTAAATTGCCTGAGGGACTCCATGCGTGGGACTTGCAATGCCTCTGAGCAATGCATCCACTAATGGAGCATATTTCACCCCAGCATTACATGGTACTTAATTGTATATCCCTGTTTCACAGATAAGGAATTAAGGGTTTGATTTTGCACAGCTACAGTAGGGTGTTGGCTAAAACAAGCAAGGGGAAGACTGAACCTTATCCACTGTTCTCATTGCTAACTGCAAGGAGAGCAGCTGTCATGTTGTCAAGCAGGGACAATGACCAAAGCCCTGTGCAGTCAGGAAAGAGTGAATAAAGAAGAAAACCACAAAAGAAATTGCCCTCATTTTAGGAGAACTCAATGCTTCACTGAAATCCCTCACTTGAAGGTGGTGGAGGGCTCTGACTGACAAAGGGATGTTGAATGAGCCTTTTCAAGAAGATTTATTTACCTTAAATATGTGATGACTCCAACAGCCCTGAGGAGAGATGGAACACAGGTGTTAGGTGTTCATCACTATTTCTCCATCCTTCTCAAGCACACAGCCCCTCTTCCCGCACAGTAAGATCACTTTCTTCTTCTCACCTTCCCAAGGAAAATAAATCCCCAAAGCTACTTTTTTTAACCTTTTTTCTTTTTTTTTTTCTTACCTGTTTAACATTTTTCAAAATTGTTCACATTTTAAAGCACGGATAGAGGAAAAGACTCAAAATACTTTTTTGGAGTTTGTTTGCCTTTTGTAGAAAGCCCTTTAGGATCATCCTCCCTAGCTGCTGCCTCTAATAAAGATAATCTTGTTGTTCCTTTGCATTAATTAGCTGTCAGAATTCGATTATGGTTGAACAAAATAGACAGAAGGAGCTTTAAAGTGTCCTGATGGGTTTTGGATTCTGTGTTCACTTTCAGTTTCCTGTGTTATCATCACTACTCCATTTACTTATGAACAGTAAATGGAAATTCAGGCTGTCTAGAGCAAAAGCTTTTTAGAAAGATGACAGGTTACCAGATATCGGTTGCTTTTGACACTGGTGACTGAGAAACAATTTCTGGAGCAACAAACTCTGGAGACCCGTATTTGCTGAACTGGGGCTCAAAGGGTGTGATCTTCTGAGCAAATCCAAAGTCACAGAGCTTAAGGTCTTCCCTTTCAGGATAAACCATGAGGATATTCAGGGGCTAGTAAATGAAATAAAAGGGAGAAACTTTTATTGAAAACAGGCAATATTTTCAGTTGTAAGTAAGAATAATTCAAACAGAGTACGCCCCTTCCCTGACCAACAAAAAGCTGTGCTAAGCTAGACCTGCCATTGTATGTTACCTTTATGTCCAAATGAAGGATGTTGTTGTCATGAAGATATTTTATTCCTTCCAAAATTTGTTTGATATACAATTTGACCTAAAAATTAAACCAATTATTAAAAAATTATTAAACATTAATAGTAAATAAGAGGGTCCCTAGTTCCACCCACATTTTTAATACCTGAAAGAGGGAGAGATCAAATTAGAAATACTTTTAAAACTAGAATCAACTTCTTATATTAGTCTTGCAGTTCAATTAAGATGTGAACCAAACATTACGCTGTGGAATTAAGCTGTGCCTCGTGTGATCACACTGCCCTGCTGGAGCCTTCTATATGTGAAAAAGCCCTTACTCTAAAAAAAAAAAACACCCAACCCTACAAACATGCAAAAAAGAGATATAGAAATCAAGTCTGATGCACCTTATCAACTCACTCCAACTCGGCTCTAGCTTGGTGTAAATCAGGCAAATGCATTTAAAACACAAATGCACTTTAAAACTAAGTTGTAAACCTATTTTCTTGACCATTTGTAGACCCAGTCTGACTATGACTAAACAAAGAGTGAATATTACTGCCAGCTTCAGCTTTGGAAATCCTCTACCTTTGACATTTTATACTGTTAGCTGGATCTGATATTTAAAGATTCCTTCCAACCCAAACCATTCTAGGATTCTATGATGTTTTCCTTTGAGTATTTCTAAAAGAAAAATCAATTTTACCAATAAAAGCATAACATCCTAGAGTGGTTTGGGTTGGAAGGGACCTTAAAGATCATCTAGTGCCAACCCCCCTGCCCCGGACAGGGACACCTTCCACCAGCCCAAGTTGCCCAAAGCCCTGTCCAACCTGGATTGAACCCTTCCAGGGAGGGGGCAGCCACAGCTGCTCTGGGCAGCCTGTGCCAGGGCCTCACCAACCCCACAGGGAAGAATTTCTTCCTAATTTCTAATCTAAATCTCCCCTCTTTCATTTTAAAACCATTAGGCCTCATCCAATCCCTATACCCCCTGATCAGGAGTCCCTCCCCATCTTTCCTGTAGGACCCCTTTAAGTGCTGGAAGGTACAGGATGCCTGGCTACTAGATGGGAGACGGGAAACATTTTGAACTTTGAGGACCAAGGACCTCAGAAAAAAATCCTTAGAAACCATAATTTCAGCCCTTGGTTTGGAGGCTGAAAGGGAGTCAATAGAAGTACATTTGTGAGGGGATAAAGTGTTATTAATCAAGCAAAGATACAGACTCTCCAGGTGACAGACAGCAAAGATATGCAGATAACAGAGCAAATATTATCTGTACTAGGCGGAATGCAATGCTGGTGGTCAAAACCACTGACTGTTTCTAGTTATTCCCTGAAGAAACTCAATTTAGTAATGAAAGCTGGTGGGAACACATTTTAAAGGCTGAATCTGTTTTGACAGATTATCACAGGTTTAGAGACATTCCTCGTATTCAAAAAGGAAGGTGCAGCTGGAAGGTACTCTGGTGGTACCCACCAACTCTGGACTTTCAAATGAAAAACAAAGATTACCTCTGCTTCAGTAACGACGCTCTTCTTGAATAAACGGTCAAGGAGCTCTTCACTGGAGCATCTGATAACAACATTAAGGGAAAATACAGCTACAGTTGAATGCATTTTTATGTTGTAACCACCTCTATCCAGCTAACATGAGGTGATTGCAGGCAATGTGATGTACATGTAATACATTAAAGTCCTTGCAGAATTGGGATGCTCTAAACCTCTGCGCCCTACAAGCAGGAGCATGGTATCTCTTGTGCTATAATCTACCAGTTGGCCATGGGCTTTTCTGCTTTGCACTGTGTTTTCTTGGTGCTTACCCAGACTGGATCTCATAGAAACAGAGTCCTTCACTTCCAGACATTTCGGAAAATGAGCTTTGGTGCTTAACACTCATACATACAAGTATCATGATTTTTTCTGAAACAGCAGAAACATAGTACTTCAGTGATGATCTCACAGAGCTGTGCTATCCTGCAGTGCTGAGAAAGGTTTTGTGTGTCATTTTATCTCAGGTAAAACCTAAAAATAGTTAATTGCTTAGTTATTTAATAAATGAGCTCTCTACCTAGTACTTTGTAGCCTCATCAGACAAGCAGCACAGAAAAGGATACAACTCCAGAATCAAAATCAGTGTTTTCCGTGTTTCAAAGTGATCCAGGAGCCTGGTAATTCTGTCGTGGGATAGAGAGGCAAGAATATCCCTCTCCTGATGCGCTTGAGCCTTCGTTTTGCTTCGTAGAGGTATGAATTTGGCAGCACAAGACACCCTGTTCCCTTTGTGTACAACTCGTTTCACAAAGCTGAAGCAGCCTCTGTGTAAAATTCAAAGGACAAGCCCTCCTTAGACTTGATTCAATGCCCCCTGCACAGCAGGTGTAGACTTTTCTGCATCCCAGACTTTTACAGCTCCCTACTGCTCAGGGCATAAATTCTCCAATATGAAAAACTCATTTTCCTGTATGTGAAGTGCTGTTGCCCTCTCCTGGCTATCTCCAAAACTAAGCAACGAGTTCACATCAAGGAAGTAGATGTTGCAGGTGACAGTCTTGTGCTGACAAAGGCTGATGCTCTTGGATCCCTTGGACGGACACAGTGCTTGTGCACGTGTCTCTATGGGCTTGTGATGCTAACGCTGCCAAGAAACCATACCTGGGCACCTGTCCTGCCAGGCCCTGGCTGGTGTTTTTTCTGGTTAGAGCTACCTGGACCTATGGGCTGTATGGACTCTCCCATCCTCTGTCAGAAACCTCAGGAAAGTGCTTTCAACACACCTGCAAAGGGGTGACCTCCCACTTTCACCTTTTCAGACTTTCCCACAGCTAGGCCCACCTCTGCCGCTGGTTACACGTGCTGAGCAGTTCAGATGGGCAATTAGATATTCTCTGGCGGTGATGCTGTAAAGTTGGAAAATTCATTTACCTTCCAATCTCCTGCTTAACCTCATAAAGGGAATGGAGCTTTCTCCTGGTGGCCACTTTCTTTGCTGCTTGGTCTTTCTTAGCTTTGGGAATGAAGGAAAATGAAGGAAAGACTGTTAATATTCAGACAACAACGCCTTGCTAATAGCATGCAAAATTATTACAAGACAATTTAAGGCAGGAAAAATTACAGGGGTCCTATAAACTTCTGCGCAGAATTAAATGGAGCTGTTTGATAACAGAACCTGTCAATATGAACCTTGTCCAACTTAAATGCCTCTATGCAAACGCATGTAGCATGGGGAATAAACAAAATGAGTTAGAGACATGTGCACGCCTGCGTGGCAACATGCAGACATGGTGGGATGGCTTCTATGACTGGAGCATTGGAATGGAAGGATATAGGCTCTTTAGGAAGGACAGGGAGGGGAGATGCGGAGGGGGGCTGTCACCCCTTGTGTCAGTGACCAGCAGGAGTGCATGGAGCTCTGCCCAGGGATGAATGAGGAGCTGACTGAGAGCTTATGGGTCAGGATTAAAGGGAGGGTAGGGACAGGCGATACTATAGTTGGGGTCTGCTACAGGCCACCCAACAAGGAAGAACGATTGGATGAGGCCCTCTATAGAGAGATAGGGGCTGCCTCATGTTCAGAAGCCCTGATCCTCATGGGGGACTTGAACCACCCCAATATCTGTTGGAGGGACAACACAGCAGGGCACAAGCAATCCAGGAGGTTCTTGGACTGCATTGATGGTACTTGGAGAACTTCCTTCTCCAAGTGATAGGGGAGCCAATGAGGAGAGGTGCTGTGCTGGACCTTGTTCTCACCAACAAGGAGGAGCTCATGGGGAGTGTGAAGCTCAAGGGAAGCCTTGGCTGAAATAACATGAAATGGTGGAGTTCAAGATACTTAGGGCAGCGAGGAGGGAGCACAGCAAGCTCACTACCCTGGACTTCAGGAGAGCAGACTTTGGCCTCTTCAGGGATCTGCTTGGTAGAGTAACATGGAATGAAGCCCTGGAGGGAAGAGGCACCCAAGAAAGCTGGTTAATATTCGAGTATCACCTCCTCCAAGCTCAGCAGTGATGCATCCCAACAAAGAGGAAGCCAGGCAAAAATGCCAGGAGGCCTGCATGGATGAGCAAGAAGCTCCTGGACAAGCTCAAAAACAAAAGGAAGCCTACAGAGGGTGGACACGTAGCCTGGGAGGAATACAGAAAAACTGTCCAAGCATCCAGGGATCAGGTTAGGAAAACTAAAGCCCTGATAGAATTAAATCTGGCCAGGGACGTCAGGGGCAACAAGAAAAGCTTCTACAGGTACATCGGTGATAAAAGTAAGATTAGAGAAAATATGGGAAGGAAACAGGAGACCTCATTACCTGGGACATGGAAAAGGTTGAGGTACTCAATGACTTTTTTGCTTCATTCTTCACGGACAAGTGTTCCAGCCACACCACCCAAGATGCAGAAGGCAAAGGCAGGGACTGGGAGAATGAAGAACTGCCCACTGTAGGAGATCAGGTTTGAGACCATCTAAGGAACCTGAAGGTGCACAAGTCCGTGGGACCTGATGAGATGCATCGGTGGGTCCTGAGGGAACTAGCAGATGAAATTACTAAGCCACTATCCATCATATTTAAGAAGCTGTGGCAGTCCACTGAAGTACCCACTGACTGAAAAAGGGGAAACATAAGCCCCATTTTTAAAAAAGGAAAAAAGGAAGCCCCAGTGAACTATAGGCCACTCAGTCTCACCTCTGTGCCTGGCAAGATCGTAGAGCAGATCATCCTGGAAACTATACTAGGACACATGGAAAATAAGAAGGTGATTGGTGACAGCCAACACGGCGTCACCAAAGGCAAATTGTGCCTGACAAATTTGGTGACCTCCTATGATGGGGTTACAGCGCTGGTGGATAAGGGGAGAGTGAGTAACTGACATCATCTACCTGGACTTGTGCAAAGCATTTGACACTGTCCCCCGTGACATCCTTGTCTCTAAACTGGAGAGACATGGATTTGACAGATGGACCACTTGCTGGATGAAGAATTGGCTGGGTGGTTGCACTCAGAGAGCTGCAGTCAATGGCTCAATGTCCAAGTGGAGAGCAGTGACAAATGATGTTCCTCAAGGGTCAGTGTTGGGACCGGCGCTGTTTAACATCTCTGTTGGTGACACAGACAGTGGGATTGAGGCACCCTCAGCGAGTTTGATGAGGACACCAAGCTGTGTGGTGCAGCCAACATGCTGAAGCAAAGAGATGCCATCCAGAGAGACCTGGACAGTCTGGAGATGTGGGCCTCTGCAAATCTCATGAAGTTCAACAAGGCCAAGTGCAACGTCCTGCACATGGATTGGGGCAATCTCCAGAACAAATACAGGCTGGGTGAGGAGTGGATTGAGAGCAGCCCTGCAAAGAAGGACTTGGGGGTAGGATGGAAAACTGACTATGAGCCAGCAATGTGTGGTTGCAGCCCAGAAAGCCAACTGTGTCCTGGGCTGCATCAAGAGAAGTGTGGGCAGCAGGTTGAGGGAGGGGATTCTCCCCCTCTGCTCTGCTCTTGTGAGACCCCCTGCAGGGCTGGGTCCAGTTCTGGGGGCATCAACAGCAGAAGGACACGGACCTGCTCAAGCGGGGACAGAGAAGGCCACAAAGATGCTCGGGGGACTAGAGCACCTCCCCTGTGAGGATAGGCTGAGAGAGTTGGGGGGTTCAGCTGGAGAAGAGAAGGCTCCAGGGAGACCTTAGAGCAGCCTCCCAGGGCTGAAAGGGGCTGCAGGAAAGGGGGGAGGGATTCTTGATCGGGGGGTGTAGGGATAGGATGAGAGGTAACGGCTTTAAACTGGAAGAAGGGAGATTTAGATTAGATAATAGGAAGAAAATTTTCACTGTGAGGGTGGTGGGACACTGGCACAGGTTGCCCAGAGCAGCTGTGGCTGCCCTCTCCCTGGAAGGGTTCAAAGGCCAGGTTGGACGGGGCTTTGGGCAACCTGGGCTGGTGGAAGGTGTCCCTGCCCAGGGCAGTGGAGTGGAACTAGATGATCTTTAAGGTCATTTTCAACTCAAACCATTATATGATTCTATGATCTTCACCTGAGATAAATCAGAAGAGTCAGGCTAAAGAGCAGAACACTACCAGAGACATGTCCCCACTTACTTCTGTGGCCCATTGTATCAGTTCATCATGTAGTCTAAAGCAGAGAAAAAACATATCTCATTTATATATATGTGTAGGTCATTAGATCATTTGCTCTTATACTGGCTCATGCCATGCTGGTAACACAGAAACGCTATGCAGGAATACAGAGCAGACACCATATGGGTACCAGGAGATGACTGCAACAGAATACCTACTGCAGTGGCTATGGTAGCAACTCCTGCAGCTGAAAGAATGACATTACCTTCATGTATGATAAGCTCTGCTTTGCACAGAACCTCCCCTCCTGCATTTTTGGCAACACAGGTATAAACACCACCATCTTCCAAAACAGCACTGTCCACAACTAAGAAATATGTTGTTCCTTCCTTCCCTTGATGGACCCTCTTGCTCTCTGTCAGTAATGAAGTGCCCTGAAAGAACGAAGTGACATTTTGGCAGCAGAAAAAGTAAGATGGAAACAGATGTTTCTTCCCTTCAAGAAATGAGACAAAGCAGCAGAGCTGCAACACAAACCATTCAGGCTAGCACATCTCACTAACAAAATGCTGGCTGAAGAAGTCCCCCATGTCTAACTGTTTCTCTGCTTCCACATTACCCAGTAACATTTTTGTTTCAGAACCCATTCATAGGAATACAGGCTTCAGAGGGATCCCCAGGGCTATGTGGTTTATTCTTCAGCTTTCCCAGCACACCACGCCTGAGCAGTCAGCCCTGGGAGCAGTCGGATCAGCTACTTTGCTCCTGCCTAGTCTCCAGCTTGTGCTGGCACTTGTGATGCTTAATATATTCATAAATGCTATGAAAAAAGGACCAGGAGGGAGTGTGTGTGACAGAGAGCAGATTATGAAGATTTGCAAAAGGACCTTTTGAGACCTTCTATCTGGACAGTAAAATACCAGATAAATGTATAAAATACAATAAATGTAAAGTGATGCAACTGTATTCCCCCACATGAAAAGTCTCTGAACTGTTCCTTATTACACTGGAGCAAAACTTCGAGTTACAGTAATTCACTCCATGGCAGCACCAGCTCGGAGCTTGGCGACAGTCAGAGTACGAGATGTTAGAAATTATTAGGCAAGAAATGAAGAATAAGACAGAAAGCATCGTCTTATAAATCCTGTTTGCCCAGGGTGTGGTACTGTTGCAGCAATGTTCTTTTTGTAACAGCTTCCAGATGAGGATTGACACAGCAAATTGGGGCTCTTCGGCCTGGAAGGGAAGCTCTAGCAGTACAACATAATAGATCTGTACAGAATTATGAATAGCCTAGTGAGTGGACAGAGATTAACTTTTCCTGATAAAAGATGTAAGAGCCAACACATGAAAGCTTGTGATAAATAAGCACAGAACAGCCAAAAAGAGGTGGCACTTGAGGCAGTGTACTGTCTGTGGGTTAAACCCCTTGACAAAGGACACAGTATGTGTGAGATGTTGCGTGGGTGCAAGAGGCTAGATAAGCATGTGGAGAGCTTTACTGTGGGTTAGTAAATAGATAAAAAGTCAGCTAGCTTGTGATAACTGAGCTGGAAGTGTCAGAGCCTGAAGGAGTATTAACAGGGTGTATCATATATACTTGCCTTGTTCTTACTCTTTTCAGTGTGTTCAGATGTGCGCATGTACGTGTGTGTGAGTGCATGGGAGGGAGTTCTTTGCATTTTACTTATTTTTTAAAAGTTATTTTATTTGTCTGAGCAGCTCGTCCTTGCATTTCCCACGCAGGAAAAAATTTAATAAAACTTGTGTGTGCAAACCACTTAGTTGGACAGAAGAGTTACAGATAATCATTATAGAACAACACTGACTTATTTCAGGAACACGACAATGCTCTGAGGAATAATGAATTATTTCTCCTTCCTTTCTATAGGATATTCATTGTCCTTAGTCATGCTCATTTTATCATTAGCTGTAGAAAAGATACAGAGTCTGAAAGTCACATTGACAATTGGAATAAACCACTCTTAATCCCATCCCTGACCCCCAAAACTACAGCACGCATCTTTGTAGCTCTCAGGCAGGAACCAATCTCCCTTCCTGCCCATCTTGGTTCCCCAAACCATCCTGGCTCCCCTCTCTGCAAAAGGAACCACAGTGACATTGGAGACAACACAGGGTGAGATGCATCATGGATGGTTCCAGCGAGAACTGCAGCTGGTTCTACAAAGCCTATAGATACGACCCAGAATTGGTGTAAGAGGTGTGGGATGAAAGAGCAAAAGAAATTCCCCACAGAAGTACTACACTAAAGTCCTTTCTAAGTCCTTTTTAAGGGAAGTCTGCACTTACCTTAAACCACAAAACGGTAGGCTGAGGGGTTCCTTCAATGACTGCCTGAAATTTGGCACGCTCCCCAGAATTCACCTGCACATCCTCTATTGTCACTTGCATATAAGGAGGACCTGGTGAGACACAAAGGTTTGCTGCATGCACAATACCATAATTTGATTCATAGTGTGCCGGTGGAGGTTGAGTTACTAAAATGGATTTTATAGGACTGGTCATTTAGAATGTAACTTTAGCTTAATGTCAGATCAAGAGATATCACAGCAGTACATTTAGGCTTCTTTATACTGGCATTCCTTTTAGGCTTCTCATCTTCATGCTTATATTTTACTTTTTGTTTAATAAACAGTTACTGCTCAAGAAATTGAAGTATTTTTAAAAAGTCATCAGGAGTTATTACCAAAAGAGAAGCCAGTGACAATCATGGTATCTGGGAAAGGGAAACAAGGTTTCTACTTACTTGTTGGGGTCTTCTCCTCAGTCTTATACACACAGGTTCTTTCTGTGGTCTCAATATAAACTTCACGGTGTACATCCCAGGCCACATCTTCTTTTCTATACCAGTCTCCTGCCCCTGCAGCTGGTGATGTTCTTTGATAAAATCCAAGAGAAAAAATCATGATGTAAGCCACATAAAACTATAGAGATTACACCCTTTCATTGACCAGACAAATAATTATTTACTTAAAATTAATACAAGAATTTTGTTGGGGGGGGAATGAATTTCTCTCCAGCCTTTTCTATCCTTCTTGCACAATGCATGTGTGAACAGGATTCTAAAGAATAACAACAGAATCACAGAACCATCAAAGTAGGAAAAGACCTTGTAGATCATCCAACCCAACCATGAACCTCACCCTGACCGTTCCCAACTCCCCCAGATCCCTCAGCGCTGGGTCAGCCCGACTCTTCAACCCCTCCAGGGATGGGGACTCCCCCCTGCCCTGGGCAGCCCATTCCAACGCCCAACAGCCCCTTCTGCAAAGAAATCCTTCCTCAGAGCCAGCCTGACCCTGCCCTGGGCAGCTTGAGGCCATTCCCTCTGGGCCTGGCGCTGGGTCCTTGGCTCAAGAGACTCATCCCCCCTCTCTGCACCCTCCTGGCAGGGAGTCGCAGAGGGCCAGGAGGTCTCCCCTCAGCCTCCTCTTCTCCAGACTGAACCCCCCCAGTTCCCTCAGCCGCTCCCCATCAGACCTGTGCTCCAGACCCTGCTCCAGCTCCGTTGCCCTTCTCTGGACACGCTCGAGTCATTCAATGGCCTTTTTGGGGTGAGGGGCCCAAAACTGAACCCACTCATCGAGGGGCGAGTGCCGAGCACAGGGCTCAGATCCCTTCCCTGTCCCTGCTGGCCACGCTGGTGCTGACACAAGCCAGGATGCCATTGGCCTCCTTGGCCCCCTGGGCACACTGCTGGCTCATTATCAATCCCCCCCAGGTCCCTCTCTGACTGGCAGCTCTCCAGCCACTCCTCCCCAAGCCTGTAGCACTGCTGGGGGTTGTTGTGGCCCAAGGGCAGCCCCCGGCATTTGCCCTTATTGAAACTCCCCCAGTTGGGCTCAGCCCATGGCTCCAGCCTGCCCAGGTCTCTCTGCAGAGCCTCCCTACCCTCGAGCTGATCAACACTCCCACCCAGCTGGGTGTCATCTGCAAACTGACTGAGGGGGCACTCGATCCCCTCGTCTAGATCATCAGTGAAGATGTTAAACAGGAGTGGCCCCAACACCGAGCCCTGGGGGACACCACTCGTGGCCGGCCACCAGCTGGATTTAACTCCGTTCACCACAACTCTCTGGGCCCGGCCATCCAGACAGTTTTGTACCCAGCAAAGTGTGTGATTGTCCAAACCTTGAGCAGCCAGTTTCACCAGGAGAATGCTGTGGGAAATGGTGTCAAAGGCCTTGGTAAAGTCAAGGTAAACTACATCCACAGCCTTTCCCTCATCCAATAAGCAGGTCACTTTGTCATAGAAGGAGATCAGGTTTGTCAGGCAGGACCTGCCTTTCATAAGCCCATGCTGACTGGGCCTGAGCATCTGGTTGTCCTGCATGTGTTGTGTGATGGTACTCAGGATGAGCTGCTCCATCAGCTTCCCGGGCACCAAACAAGAATCAGTTCAAGTCACCACCTGCTTCCTCTACCACAGAGGACTTGTTTTTCTTGCCACAAAGTCTGGCACATTTGAAAATCTGTGTATTGAGATGATATTTACCTGGTAATAGGAACACTGCGCTCCTGAGTGCTTTCATCTCCAGCAGCTGTTTCTTCACAAGAAGGACCAGGGCTGGGCTCTGACATACTCGGTTCTTCAGCTGGAATCTGCCTTTGTGCTTTCTCTGGCAGCAGAAATAGGGCAAGTTAGACTCATCACCTATGATGGCAACCTGAAACCCAGAGCAAACCTTTGGAGTCATCTCTAGTCTGCCTTGTGTCAGAACTGAGTCTGTTTGACCTTAGCTGAGTGCAGTCACTGAAGCTAAGAGAGGAATTTGGCCCTTTTGAGAAGACCACATGAAGCAAAGGACTTGAATAACATCAGAGAGACTGACTGGTGGCACACTGCTGACTGCGCAGAACTAAACTTTTCTGTAAAGAAACACACAGAGACAAATATAGGACAGGCAGTCAGTAGGGACAAGAAGAAATAGAATGACTGGAATGAGTCCAATACATCCTTTATAGGAGATACTTTAACTGTGTTTGAGTTCTAGCTCATGGCTACGATGAAATCAGAGAATCATTTAGGTTGGAAAAGACCCTTAAGAACATTGAGTCCAACCATTAACCTAACACTACAAAGTCTACCACTGAACCATGTTCCTAAGTGCCATGTCTACATGTCTTTAAATACCTCCAGGGATGCCCCAAGTTACCTTCTTACACATGAATGCTTCAGTTACTTTTCATTATAAGAACAGTTCTTGACTCACTGGTGCTATCATGGATAGCATCAGTGAAGTAAGTTTACATCAATGTAAAACTGGTGGTCAAGGCAGGCCTGCCTGGAGGTACAACTAACATGGAGATAATATGGAGGTAAGCTAATATGGAAGAGCTGGTGATGTTATAGCATCAGCATTAATGCACCTCCCTGGGTTCTTTGAAAATGTCCTCATACAACTCTAAGTTACACCAGAACAAGGTTTGGCATCTGGGGCTTACAGGAACAAGGAAACAGAAAGATGGTGTAGCTTGATGGCAGTTCAGGTATTGTTCTTCTTTTATTATTAATTATTTTTTCAGATATATCTTCAAAAACTTGTTTGATCTTCCATTCCAAAAGTACTTGATTGTCTTTTGATATTGACTATTAGAGTTACTCCATAGGAGTATCATCATTTCCTTTTTCATCTGAGGAAAGGTTAAATCAAGGAGTCTTCTCCCCAGTAGGAAGGGGTTTTGGGGGGAACAATCTAGGGATGTTTGGTGCTGGCTGGTTTTGAAAAACAGCAGCGGTTTCTAAAAGTCACACAAAACAGCCTATTGGGATGGAAAACAAAGTTAGTCAAGGCATTACTGGCAGGGTCAGAGATCCCAGGTTGGTGGGATTGTGCTTTCCTATTGCCAGTATTATTGCAATATTTGCCGCCTTCTTATTCAAAGCATGTAATCATAGGGACAGTTATCAAGTCTTCATCTTATTAAAAAAACTTCCTCTATTAATAACACATCTAGTTTTCTCAGATGAAAGGACTGTAAAACCATCTCATTCACTACTCCATTATCTCTGTAGTTATGACTAAGGAAATAATCTGCTAGTTGACATTTTACTTATGATTTTTGAGTTATCCTGCTTCAACCAGAGGATAATTTTCACAAATGATACCCTACTAGAAAGTCAAAAAGGCTTTAAAGCCCTGTCCTTTATTTAATGCAGTTATTTTGGGTCTGATTCCATGAAATGGTTCTATCCTCATGAAATTTTATACAAGAGTATTTTTAAAACAGCATCTGGAGTTTGAGGGCTGAAGGCTACTTGACATTGTCCTTTTAATTGACACTGGTGGAGGACAGTTACTCTGATCTGACACAGAGACAACTTAGACATGTTGTTGTTGGTTTTGTTTTGTTTTGTTTTGTTTTGTTTTGTTTTTTGTTTTTGTTTTTTTTTTAAAAAAAAAAAAAAAAAAAAAAAACAAAACAAAACAAAACAAAACAAAACCAACAACAATGCAGAGCCAAAAGAGTTGTTCTCCTGGCAAGACACAGTCACACATATCACTGGTTTTAATCACATGGAAACTACTAAGGAGTCTATCAAGGCTTCAGAACCAGTGAAATGCTGGTTAGCCTGATGCACTCAACATCCTAGAAAGTCTCTGACAGTTGATACAGGGGTGTTAAACATATTTTGAGCTTTTTATGTCAAACAATACAAGAAAAGCAACCTCCCTTACCCACCCCATCAAATCAGAAACCAAATTACTTTTATAAATGTAAAGGAGGGATCCCACTCCCTCTTCTCCCCCCCAAAATTAGAAGCAAGTCCAGGGTCAAAAGCCCAAAGGTGGAAAAATATCCCCCATCCCTCTGTTTTGGGCAAGCGATGAACCGAACTCTACCTCCGACACAGTTTTCAAACATCTATTTCCAGAAAGATCTGCCTCAAACTTATCTCCACCTTAACCCCAACCCACAGCCTCACGCTTTGAGTCTGAATGTCCTCTCTTAATCTTCAACTGCTCAAAACACAATGAAACAGAACAATGAGGGGAAAAAATATCATTGCTGGCACGTTCAATATTTTTGTCTCTTTTGACACCTATAGGACATTATCTAGATTCATGCCAAACCTACCATGCCCTCCAGTAGCCTGGGTTTGGGTACTGGCTTCATGAACTAACACAGAGGGCCCGGCTGCTGTTTCTGAGTAGTCTGAAGGAACAGACCCAGCAAGGCCAAGGCCACCAGCTCCTTCTTGCTTGTCCAGAGGAAGAGTCACCAGCAGTGATGCTGAGTCCATGAGTTTCTTTAGAGCTGTCTTGATCTCTTTATCTGCACGCTGAAGCGAGGCCTGTACAGAAGTCTCCATCTCTGACTGGGGAGGAGTCACTCCTACAGACAAGAAGAACAGCTTTTCTCTCTTCAGGGTAAAAAAAAAATAAATAGCGGCATCATCCAACCCATGGAAATATTTGCAATCGTATCATTTTCCCCTCCTAGAGAGAGCAGAGAGCTGATACATAAATACTTATTCCAGCAAGAAAGAATGTAGCTAAGACTTGGAATAAGAAGGTTAACCAACATGCTTCAGAAAGATGTATCTCACCAAGTTGAGGACACTGTGCCACACTACACACACACACACCGAACCTCTCCCCAGACAACAGAACAAAGAATCCGTCTCCCAACTCAACTCTGCGTTGATTGGTTTGACAAAAATACCTTTATTAAGATCAATGACATGAACCCAGCAGTGACACATTGCACTGATACAGACCCTACATGCAAGGAGGATGTTAATTCTCACAGAGAGAAGGAGGAGTGAGCAGGTAGTAGCCTCATCAGTGACTCCGGAGAAGGGCAGGGAGAAGAAGGGAGGGCTGTTCTGCTTCATGAGCTTGTAAGTCTGAGAGGATGGCAGAAAAGCTACTCTTTGCTCTAGAGTAATGTATTTGTCCTACTTTAAAATATCTGAATATTTTTACCGGGTTTTGCATTAGAAAGTACTTGAGATTTTTAAATTTATAGTGGGCTATGCCTTTGCAAGATACTCTAGAAGCGAAGTCACCTGGTCTGAACAGTAATGCACAGCAGCTGTGTATAGGGCAGACAGAGGAAGATATAACTCCTGCCTCAAGAAACTCACGGCTTTGAAGGCAGAGAGAAGACATAAGCTTTCCACACAGAAGAATGGATTTTCAAGCATACATCTTTGCAGAATGGCCACCCAGGAGACAACTACTATGATCTCATCCTCAGTCAGCACTGGTAGAAAGAAGCAGCTAGGCTAGGATGGGATCATGGGACCTCAGGAGCTCATCTCATCCAATCTCCTGCCCAATATCTCTTCCACAAATCTTGTGCCTTAGAAGGCACAAAAAAGGGACAGATGGTATCTAGGAAAACCCTCAAGTAACCATATAAGAGACAAAATGCATTTCAGACTAAGAAAATTCATCATGCTCATGATGTGATTGCTTGCCAACCAAAAGTGCAAATTCAAACCATCATGTGGTTCAAGAAAAAAATAAGAGCACTTATGCATAAACAGCCTTGAATCGTTTAATGTCATTGACACAGAAGTGTGTCCTGTAGCTGTTTTGATCTTTCTCCTTTCCCATCCTTAAGAAAGTTCCCATGATAGACCTTAGCAGGTGAAGCTGAAGGCTACATTTGGATCAGACCCTTTTGAAGACATCTCACTTGATTTTTATTTTCAATGTCCTGCCCGTGACCATAGTGGTTATGAAATATTTCAGTTCTGGGTTTGTTGATGGAAAAAGCAAGTTTTGCTCACACAATGTCCCAGACTGCCCATCAGTGTTCATCAGCACTGGGCTGGGTGGGAGTTCTTTAAATGTTTTCCTAGATAAATATTTTGATTCTCTGGAGTTCCTGTTGTGACTGCTGCCAACTGGTGCTGTCCTACATGCTGGCCAGCTTCCAACAAGTGAACTGGTTAGAAAGGCATGAAACACTCTTAGTATGTCTCAATGAGAAAATATATTCACAGGTATATGCATAGAGGTTATATATAATCCCAGGTCTCCTCCACACTGCTAATACAACCACTTTCCTCCCTCTTTAGGGATGTTACATGCTATGATTCAAGCTGCTGACTCGAGGAACTTTAACATTAACTGAGGTATGTCTAACTAATGCTGCAGTGATGACACACCTGAGATGGACAGCTTGTTTCCCAATGCTAAAATCTCAACCATGAACCTTTCCGCCCTTCTCTCCTTCAGCCCATAACCAGGAACACAGGAGTGACACATACTTTGAAGTTTCAATTCAGTCTCAAAGAAGGACCCAAGAGGATGAGCATAGTTCAAAACGGACTCATAGACGTGAGTCCTCCCTAAAAACAGGTTCTTTCACTTCAGCACTTGCAAACCTGTCCATAAAAAAAGGCGCCAGAGCCCAACTGCATTAATGTTGTTGGGCTGCAACCCAGATCCTGCTGAAGTCAATAGAAGTGGATCAGCTGATGCACTATCAAGTGCTGTGGAACAGAGAAGAACACAGAAGACCAGCAAGTTCAGTGACAGCCGATGCAAGACATTTATTGATATAAACTCAGCATCTAACAGCATATCTTGTATTTTTTTGTGTCTGTTTTTTTTTCTTTTGTACCTCAAGCAAACTGAAGTTTCCACTTTATTAATACCCATTTACCTGCAGGAATTTTAGTAAAACATTATTTGTATTAAAATTTTTAATACAGCTGCATGTTTTCATCTACAAGAAATAAACCCCCACACGTCTCATTAGTTATCTACATAGTTTAATCACTTCCAAGCATAATTTTTTAACCTCTAGGAAAATATTTTGAAACTATATGTAATGAACTTCTCATAAACCTTTCACATTTCGAACAGAGTCCTGCATAGGATTTAAAAAAAAAAAAATCATTTCAATTCTTTTTTGCTTAAATTTCAAAAGAAAATGTAAACAGATGTTAATTGCTTTGAGCTAATGAATCAAAGTATAGTTACTTCTTCTACAACCATCCGAACTGCAACCTTTTAGTTTCTTTAGAAAAACCTGAGCATCAACCAGAACAGGAGGAAAACTCCACCTGCCTTTGCACATCTTTATTATCTTTTGGATAAATAGTATATTTTTGAAGAATGTCATAGGGCAAATTCTTTTCTCAGAAGTATCTTTGTAAATCTGAATCAAATCCACTTCCTTCTTGTGGAATTATTCTAGACTAATGCTGGAATAACTGAGATGAGAATCAGGCCCAATATAAAAGAAATATTTTTAGTTTAGAAAGTATTATTTCCCTGTTGTATGTCTGTTACTTTCCAATGTACAGTGCAATATATGAAAAAAGCACTAATATATAGCCATCGTATTTTTTAATTATAAAACAAACAGTATAAACCAAGAAGATGTTATAAAAAATGAGAGAGTAACATACAAGAGGTTTGATTTCTTTCACCACATGTAATTACTGGAAAAGCATCCTATATCATGAGGGTAGTGCACGTGATATTACACATAAAATCCTCTTTGAATATTGAAAGTAAAAGGCTGTGAAATCATTATGTTCATTTTAGTCAGCAGATGATCAAGGTGCAGCCACAGAAGGAAAAAAAAAATGTATTCTTTTCTACAAGCACCTTTTTATGTATATTCAGTCCCTGTTAGCAGGAATATTCCCCAGAGGACTCCAGAACAAGCTTTACAATATTACCTATCTGGGAAACACTTGAGACAACATCACACATACGTTTCCAAGGCAGAAACTCACACAATCCTCTCTCTTCGTGCTAGTTAGAAATTCAGCTGCGTCTGAGCATTTCTGGTTTCCCTACACCATCTAAATGAAAACATTTTCTATTGTAAGAGTTCTACACAACTCAGCCGAGACAAGACATTGGGACTTTTCACCCCACATCTTTGTCAGGTAGAGAGGGCCAGTGCTTGGTCCTACTGAGATCAATGACAAACTCCAGCTGACTTCAACTGGGACCAGTATTTGGGCCTGTGAGCTCAATTTTTTTCCCAGGACTGAGCAACTTGTTGAAGGTTTGTGCAACATCCATTTTGGGTGAAGGCCAAAAGAAACGGGCCATGCTCAGTGCATCTTAGCCTTCCCCTTTATCAGCACTCCTGAGAAACTCAACAGAAGGCATTACCTCTACAGGACAGCTCAAAATGTACGGTTACAGTAATATGATGCAATTGTAACTGGTGGTGCTTCCAAGCAGCCCAATACATTTAACGGTTGTATTTTTCATCCAGACATTTATGGTGAAGATCTCTTTTCTTCTTTATTACTTTTTAAACTGTCTTTGTGTTCCTGCTACCTTGCTGTAGCTCAGTGGTGAATTGCTCTTAGCCCATGAGACACTGTCCATCAATCTGTTAACAGTAATGTCTCACCACTGGCATGTACAGGAGAACAAATATTCTTCCAGTAATATTTTCTGATAAAGACCACATTTGTGGGTTTTTTTTTGTATGTGTTAGCATTTGATTATATACGCAGAAGTAATTTTGTGCAGCACTTCAAACTTTTGGTGTGTGTTAAATAAACCTGTATTTTAAAAGATATGGTTTATCAATCCACCGCACTAGAATGCAGAATAACAAAACCTAGGTGTTTAGACAACTAGGAAGTGGACTTGAAAATAGAGGTCATTTTTAAAAGACAGTCTTTTTTTCATGTAAAGCAGAAGAGAACAATGAAATCCTTGCTTCCTCAAGTCAGTGGGACTTTCACCATTGACTTTTGTTAAACTAGTATTTCAACCAAAAGGTCTGAGCAGCCCTTTGCATCCCTAGTAAATACAATATTTTCTATATGTTTCATTCCATGGCAGAAGTTTAAAATGATGGAACCAGACTGTGCATGTCGAAAGGTTTATGAAGAAATTTTTTATAGAGCTAACTGGTGTTAAAAGTGTACAATAAGGTCAAAGCAGTGTGAGACTTTATGACCTTCAGGCACACACAGTGACAGGAGATCGCTTTAGCTGGAAACAGTCCTATCCTGGACTGCTGAAGGATGCTGAAAAGTTTAGATGTTTTCATCTTCTTGCCACGCCACAATATACAGATTGGCACTTGAAATAATTTTTAAGTTCATGGATAAAAATGCACTTATTCATTTATATTTCTGTCATAGGCAGGAGAATCAGGTTTTTCCTAAACCTACCATCACTGCTTCACTATGGAATGATATATGCTTACCTCGATCAAAGCTTTTAAAATTACAAACTGTTCTGACAGACATGTTCCCTTTAAGACTGGAAAAGCTCTACATAACGTATTTAAATATATTTTCCTCAAAGGTATTCCCTTGTACATGTTACCTTGTAATCTTTGCCACCAGTTCCCCTCACCTACAATAATTTTGATTATTTTTCTCTAAAATG